AGGCGAAATGTTTTCTGTTTGGTTAAGTGTAAGTTAAATTTTTCTGCAAGAGGGGGGGGGGGCTTAGATTAAGGCGTGAGGATGTGGACCGAATTCGCCTGGCTCAGGATTTGGTCCACTGACGGGTTCTTATGACGCGGTAATGAGCGTTCGGGTCTATCGATAGGTGGGACATTTCTTGGCAGATATACTACATCAGGTCCTCAAGATACTTGATTCGTTAGGGGTTGAAAGTGAAGGTGGTTTACTCATGAAGTTGGGCACCAATTCGTGGGCATCTGAAATGGTATAAAAGAAATCACTTGGCGAAGTATCGATGTATTATTCGTATCCTCTCTTACACACGTCGCAAAAGTTCGACGTGGCTGAAACATTCTGAGGATCTATAACCGGTTAAATGTTCGACTGTAGTTTCGCAGAAGAACTGTTTTGCGCTCCCTGTACAAATCGTATTATACACATAGAGCATGCCGCGAAATAACTGGACTGACAACTTTGAGGTATGGTAAAAAATCTTATGAATATTCATCTTGTGCTGTGTCTGTACAAACCACAAACAACATGGCCCACACTGAACATTTTGTTCAGGAAGTGCATTTCCAGTCGACCGAAAGTTTAACACATAAGTTTCTTGTGTTACACGAAAGTGGTTGCCCTTTCATCACAGGCGGTATTAGACCGTAGTCTACGTTAGATTTCAGATGCGTGTGTGTGGACCGTGGCCACTGTGTTTCAGTCCGTTGTTTGCTATGACTGTATTGGTGAACGCTACCAAGTCGCGCATACATCTGCACTGAAAGCTACTGCTCCATATACTTGCATTGAGAATCAGGGATTCAGGACATCAAGAAGCAAGCACCCCTGAAACGTCGGTAACCTTTCACCGTATTACACGGCGCAACATCCCAGAAGATCTTGATTCCTTTCGATTTCTTATTACCGTTATCAGAATCGTTTTGTTTTTGGCAGGCAGATTCGCGTAGTAGAGTAAAATTCCGCTTAAAATTGACTGATATGAATTGTTGCTGATCATGTTACAAAAAAGAATGAACCGGCGACCATATATTTCAAGCGCTGGTAATAAAATACAAAAGGAATTATCTTCATGCCCTGAATCGTATTTTGACTTCTGTCCTGAGGAAACAGTTCGGAAACTTGTACTGTCAAACCTCGACGTTCTGTGCATATAATAACTCAGATCCTGAGAGAAAGTATGAGAGGAAGATGTTTCTGGGCAATTCAAACTCTAAAAAGAAAAGGTTAGTTGTAAGTGAAAATATGACAAACACCGCTGACAAATCTATTAGCGGATATACCTGTAGATTATCCAGTATTGTGCATACCTCATTATAATCTTGTCAACCCAAGAGGTGTGGTGATCAGAATTACGTGACTTATTTGCAGAAGGTAGATGCAGAACACTTTTACTGTTTTCATATCGAAATCCATTTCTTCATCAGCAAAGACAATAGAACGTCCGGAACGGAGAGTGGAACAAACGTTATGTTGCTGAAGTGTTACAGTTTAGTGAGTAACAGTAAGTGTTTGTTCGACAATGTCTTTGTGTAGTAAAAGAATCCTGTTGCTCAATGCTACCTAACGGAGTTCTGAAAATCTTTGGCTTCCGTATAATAAATTGGATTGGTTTATTCTTCCATACAAATTGCAAAATTACTTACTTAAAATGTATTCTAAGCGTGTAATGGAGGCTTGATTACTTCGATGTACGTATTATTAAAGACTGGTTCTATTTGTTTGAGTTCGTCACTTTATTTTTTCAGACAGCAGCGAAAAAGTATTAATTTCAACAATGTTTAAATTTTAATTTTTAACGTGAACAGTGCATTAAGACATAATTATTCAGCTAGGTGCATCATTGCTGCAAATTACATCAGAGTTTGGACATTTCTGACAGAAACATTGTCTCTTTTGAGGACAACTCTTCGGTATGAGAAATTGCTTAGATTGAACACGTGTGTTTAGTTTAATTGTGTTTTACTCCTTTATCGTCTTCTATACTTTATGTTTATTTTATCTTCTTGTGCTGACTCCGTAATTGGTTCCTGTACCTGTTGATCCAGTAATCACGTTAAAATAAGGCACGGAGTTCAGTTGGAAAGCCAAGTGGCCACGTGGTTCCGTGAGACGTTCGGACACTGGAATCGTGGGTACGAATCCCGCTCAAGACTTGTCCTTCTGTGTTGCGCTATTCTTTGTAGATGGAGATCTTACGACAAGGAGTATTGTCAAATATCTAAGCTGATTCACAATTTTAGAAGTATTTCTGAAGTGGATCAGGCCACAAGGCCCTTATCCATGTTTATTATTATTATTTTTTTAGTTACAAATTAATCAGCGAGCAAACTTTTGGTTCTGTTAATGCGAAGTATTCATTTCGGTGCACAGTGCATGAAAGTTGGGTCACTTACGTTTAACGTTTAAAGAGAAGGGTAAAATTTACAGTAACTTTCTCTTGGTACATCATATGGTGGTTATTGGTTTCACTACAGTAATTCCAGTAGTTACTACCACATTTTTTGTGTGACTAGAAAATCTTCGTTTTGTGTTTAACATATCCAATTCAAAATGAGAGGTTTCTTGTGTTCAGACTGGGTCTCGAGACTAGGCTGTCTTTGTCAGACCAGGATAATGGTTATTGCTTAATTTGGTGTACAACTCTCCTTGTACGTTCCTATCCAAATCATATCATCAATTAATTATGTATCTCCGCGGTATATACGATTTTTAACTATCAAGGCTGCTGAATGAAATCAAATCTTTTCGGTGACTGGCCGCGCGGCCAATTTCCAACCTCTCAGAAATTATATCTGCCTCCCTCATCATGAACTGGAATGTTGATTTGCTAGCTGTTCAAGGGCTAATAGCAGGGACATACAACGTATGTAACGCACAGAGGCAAAAAAATTGCTCACAACTATGGTTCTACAATAAGGTTCATTGATGAAGATTTCTGTCATCCGGGTTGTTGCGATGAATCGCCCTGATGACGGAGGCAGTATGACCTGTGAAACGTCTCTGAAACGTTGGTTAACATCGACCAGACTACACGGCGCAACAACCCAGAAGACAGAAATCTTCATACTCACCGCTGTGAAAACCTCAAATCTTACAGGGTCATCGATGTATGAGTAGGAGTGGAGAGTATCGTGCAGTTTACAAATAAGCTTACATGAGAGTTCTTGCAACATACTTCCAGTAATTGTAGGACAGCAAGCAAAGCAACATTTAACAAAAATGGCAAAGATAGCATTTCATTAAACCCCATCAGTGTCACGGTCAACTTGACGCATTCTAAGAAATTTAAAATGTAACCACCGTTCGTGTGAGTTGGCATTTCTTTCGTGCGACATGAATTTTTCTTCTCACGCTTTCCCTATTTGCTTCCCATTCATACCGTCACATTTCTCATAATTATCGTCGTCTTGTTTTGTTTTAAAGTTTGACCAGTGACGTATTCTGACGTATAATGAAATCGGTTCCGAATTAGGATAAAGTCATGCACTGAAGATTGTGGTCTTGTGGGCCGTATAGCTTTCATAACAAGAAAAATATTTTGGTTAGTCTATAGGAATAACAAACCGGGCAGTTAATTTTGTCGCTTAAATCTATGCACTATGCATCAAAGAATTACATTTTAATGAAATGTACGGCAGGCAACGATAAGTAAATGTAACACAAGGAATCAGTGAACCTCAACTCACAAGGTTCGTCTTGTATCCACATTTTATAATCTCCTGTACATTTAAAGTGAATTGAAACCCTGAGAACATAATATAGAAACTTCTGGTCAGTTCCCTACAGAGAGGAAATTACTGGACACTAACTAACCAAGAATCTAGTAATATAATCCGAAAATTTAATGTCGTTAATTTTAAGTTCTGCTATTAGACACATTCTGAGCCAGTCCCATCCATCTTAGATCCTCTCGACTTATCTCTGTTGGATCACTAACATGCAAAGTAAACAAGTATTCCGCGTTGTATCCTTTGGAAGAAATCTGACTCCTAAAGAAATAAGGAAGATTTGTCAAACATACAGGAAACCTTGAAATACATACACAGCTTCGGTTTAAAACTTTTGAAGATTTAAATAAGAAGATATGTAAGATTCCTCGATAAACAGTGAGTGAGGATATTGACTGGATTAAACTGGTTCAAAACAGATGCCCCTGGCGGGATTTAGTTTACGCGGTAATGGATATTCAGGTTCCAAAGAGACACTTCTGTACCACATGAGGAAATGTTAAGTCCTTAAGAGATGTCCTTTGTCTTGCAGTTTTACGTACCTGGGCCATGAAAATTATAAGGTCAGTGTACAGGATCTTGAATAAATTTAATTGAACAAGCAGCTAATTGATTTCATAGGTAAGTGGAACCAGAAAAATGTTTGTTATTGTTTTCTGGTACGCATAAAGGTTGTTTCTGACGCTCGTATGCTATGTATCTTTTTCTTTAACCTTCAGCACTACGTAAAAAATGTTAATAAAACAAACAGAGCGTCTGCGTAACGCAGAATCACCACCAACTACCGTTTCTAACGCCACACAGAGACGACTGTACGAAATGCTAATAACGTTCTGGCGGTGGTTTGACCTATATGTTAAGCGCGTTGCAGTTAATTACAACTGCATAGGCTACTGGCCTTGTATATCACGACAATAAAATGTGCTTAGTTATCATGAAAAAATGTTTTGCGGGTTCTTAAGTTGGACAGCAAGGTCAGCGTGTGTGTAGAATGTGCTTCGTTGCTAGTAATTTTTTAAAATAAATATTTTTGTATGAAGGATTTCGTGACAAATTATTCGTCGTCATTCCGTTGAGACAGAATATGGGATAGTATCACCAAATAACCTATTACAGCTTCCTCCCACATCATTTCCAGTTCGTCATTCTCAGTAATTCTACCATTTAACAATCTGTAGCCTGTGTATTAAGAAACCCAGTGAAATGAGCCCAGGATCATTTCATCTGACAGTTCTGACTTTTATTATGCAGATACCTGAAACTTGGTCCCTAATTGTGGTTATACTGACTTGGATTCTTCGGGAAGTTCCTCAGTAAATTCAGGGAAAGCCTGGAATATTGCTTTGGAACAGGCCACGACGAGTTCCTATTCAGTCATTCCCGGTTCTCTGTTCATCATTCTTCCGTTCCTCGGTCGACGTTGAATAACCTCGTATTTTAATATAGCATATTAAATAACCTAGAAAACCATCCTTCATGAAACTGCTGGAAGTATCAAATAGTTTCCTATTTGGACAAGGACTCTCTCTTGAGTTTATCACCATCATTCTAAGTAGGCTGTTGTTTCTGGCGATAAGATTTCTCTTTAATATAATCATGTATTATATTAATAGAAGGTAATTATTCTTCCTTCGCTTCCGTCAGAAAAGTTGATACGCTTTTATATCTCACAATTTTCAACAATATTTGTACCCCATAAAAGTAAGAAATTTCTTAGTAAGACTTTATAATTCCACAGTTTAGCATTGGCTGGTTTATTTCCGAGTTAATTTCACGGGAGCTTGCCATTGAATTTCTTGAATGCAGACCATAGTTTATTCTCGAAAGTCGAACATCTAAAGTCTGAGAACAAAAATAGATTTGGTGAGATCTCATGTTCTCATGGCGGCGAGGCAGTGATCATCTCTAAAACGTCGGTAAATTTCTATGAGACTACACGAACCAACATCTCAAAAGAGTCATCTTTATACTTGCCGCCGAGAAAACCTGAAATTTCATTTAGTAAGTTATTTACTCTTTGCTCTGAGGTTCACTCATCGACCTGATGATGGAGGCAGTAAGTACCTCTGAAACGTCGGAAAGTTTTTAGGATACTACAAGACTCCACTTACCAGAAGACATTTATCTCAAAGTATAATCGTAGTGTTTAATTTGGAGACGTTGTTCCGAAGTGAGCTTTGTCTCTGCGCTATTGTGGTGCCCGTGGTGTAGTTCCGGTGGGAGGAAAAGTAAACAGGCCGGGGGGGGGGGTCCCTTCGTTGTTTCGTAATGTGAAAAGCATGGCGGCACTATGGCGTCAAAATCCTAACGACGTAATCCCGCCACGTCATCACGCTCTATTAAATATGAGAGAATAGATCTTATCCCCATTAACATTTATTCCAGCTAAATCAAAATTTAATTCATAGTGGAACATACCGTGGCTTCTTCCGTACACTCCACCTCTTTACATCCTTCCGCGTATGCAACACGCATGCTCGAGTAAGCTCAGGAGTTACATCTTAATTACATAGTTCCTTTATTTCGAAATAATGAACAATGAATACGTTAATTTATACTAAGATATACACGTTTTACAGGTTTACTTTCGTATTTTATGAAAAGTTCTGTTTTTCGGTATTACGTAATCCCATCGTTTATAGGCCTACTACGGTGTCTGAATTTCTCCGATTTACAAAGATTACTTTTATATGCATTAATATAAATTAGTGAAAATATACAGGATTAATCCACAGAATGTTAAAACACAGGTGACATTCCAATCTTGCATTCGAAAGATGCCCTATCGGTAGAACATCCGTTCTTCTGACAGAGATCCCTTGCGGTTTCCGGCATTGTTTCCGGGCGAATGATAGTCTAAAATAAGCCACGACCGCTCACTTTCTCATTCTCTCCGATTCAACATTCTCAGACATTTTTTTATCTCATTACAGGCTACATAATTTGTCCAGTCGATACAGCTTGATAAATGAAAATAAGCAGAGACCTACATCCACGCGTACATTAATAAGGCAAATATATAGATATACATATACATGTAACACACACACACTAGAACTGAGACAAAGGAAAATCCGTCCTACCCAGAAACTATTTAGGACCATAGTATGTCTCTTTGATTCTGCATGTTGTACAGCTTATAACAGTTAACATTTGGGATCGTGTCCTTCAGCGCCTTTGGTTTTATCGGTAGAGAGTTTGTGAGTTGGTTAAATTAATAAAACTAATTCAGTTGAGCAGAGTCATTTTTTTCAGATTCTAATAGTTTTTTGGCTAGCCAGGAAACGTCCTTCGTCTTATGGAATTACAGCACTCCTCAGTTCAAAATTTGCCACTGGATTTTGAGGCGGATGAATCCAATCAGATTAGTAAGACACAAAAAATACTTACCATGTACGAAAAGTAGTCCGTATTTTGGAATTCAGGTGGACAAACATTTCACAAAGTCACAACCGACGTGTCACTTAATAATTCTTGCGGCACGCACTGTTCTGTTTACAAAAATATTTAAATTTATAAATAATGTAAAACTATAAATTTGTCGTCTTGTTTCGTTATAAAATGTTTGATTTGTATAATAATCGGATTCATAAAACAATATGGGTCGCAGTTATATAATTTAATAAAACAAATAATACGACCGTTATTTCTTTATACAAAGAACTTTAAAATTCGATATTAGTGTTGCACTCACAGCTTTTGTGTGCATTTGAACTAACCTCCATAACGAACCGCGTGGTTTGAAAGTCGCCGGACAACTGCCTAGTTCCTGAGCTGAGTTACAACACCTGTTCTTAGAGAGCGCAACTGTCGATGTGCTTCACCTGTTTCATTACACGGACGCCATCACCATGGTAACCGACGGTATATCGACCTTATTCCCACAACAATGCTTCACCATGCACGCATTACTGGCATATGTACTTTGTATACTCGGCATCAAATAAAACAGCGTAGTACGAAGATGGCTGTCTTCTGGGTTGTAGGGCCGTGTAGTCTGGTAGAAATTTACCGACGTTCCAGGGTTATAGAAATGGTCTTTAGTTTCATTCACACATGTTTCGAATAAAGCTCATCTTCTGTTGCATTTCGTTAAATTATAATGTGTGATGCTAAATTGTGATTCAGTTAGGAATGGCGGAGTTAACCACGTGGAGATCGCTTTTTACTATTAGTCTGAAGTAAGGAAGAGAGCTGACAAGGGGCTCGTACCTCGTAAACTGGAGTGGTAGTCACTGCTCCACGGAGTCTAATGTTTGCAAAGACCGTTTTCCTTACGCGTATTCTAAAATAGTAATTTTGTTGTCGTTTGCAATATTAATTTCCGAGAGGATAATTAGTCTTTCAGGATGCTGTGTCTTGTGTCGCCCGAATAACGTTTTAACCACCTGAGCTCAACGCCATCCATCCTTAATTCCTTCCAACCTGCCGTACGTGGTCCATCTGTCACCCTGTCTACCCACCAAACTAAACATTTACCTGTTCCATTCATTCAAATATCCATCTATGCTCCCATGAATCAATTAACATTCTAATAATTACGTACAACTTAAAAATAATACTAATTTGGTGTTCCGATATTTAAAATACCATTGTATATAAGATATTGTGCAACTGTACTTTCCTTTTTGTGTTAAACCGTCTGAGGTTATATCGTTCATATGACTTGAGTCGCTTTTAGTCTGATACGTAGTGTTTTCGCAAAGATGCAATTTCTCGGCTTGAAACGCGAGACCACTTCTGTGTTATGATAATCGTTTGCTTTCTGAAAGACGCATCATTGAATATCATAACCTACTTCCGTTCTGTCTCACGTTTCAGTTGTTTTTCCGACCCTGACAAGACACGAGACGCGTGTTTTGGGCGCGTGCCTGACACGCGGGTTTGCGTTCCGTTGTTCGATTGTATTAAGTAGACGCGTGTTTTCGGCGCGTGCCTGACACGCAGGTTGCGTTCCGTTGTTCGATTGTATTAAGGTCTCATGTTGTTTTCGAATATTGTTGAAGCGTGGTGACTTCATGAAGTGATGATAAAATAAAATAATAAACATTTGAGGAAGTATGAGGAAGGCAGTACTGCCTATTTTAAAGTTCTGTCTTCTAATTTTCTGAATAAATCGTAAAATATTTAAATTAGCTGTGCTGAATATGTCTGACATAAATACAAATGCACGCGGACCAGAAGCGGCTTGCAAAATATTGAGTCCAGCCCATGTTTATATGCAGATGTTATAAATAATTACTGCTTTAGTTTATATACATAAGCAAATAATATATATGCTACAACTTGAGTTATTGATGTAAAAGCACGTGTTTATGTCTGTAACCAACCAACTAACAAAGAGTCCTTCTTGAGAAGCCAGTCAAGGAACTCCTCGAATTTTATGAAACTCGAAGGTTCATTACCGCTTTCACAAGAGCCCGCCACCGGTTTTGTGTCTGTGTTGTTCGTATTTATTATGTCAATTGATTGTACCCAGAATTGGGTGTGACGAGGTCGAGTGAGGGTCAACCCAGGTTTAAGTCTTTAAAATGTCTGTCATAACACATCATACGGAGTTCAACATACCCTAACCAAATTAATTATTAGTAATGCTTTCATTATGTGCTTTGACGCGCCATATCTACGAAGAATGTTAAGTCATTGCGAACAATTCGTAAGAACGTACTTAACAATTTCTTAACTGCAGACTGTTGCTGAAAGATTAAAAAGGGAAACACATATAAAAATTTGGTGATCTCATAAGCTAATTATTATTTTTTTCTTTAAGAAAGGGAGAAGTTTAAACATTTTTCAGACACATCCTTGTCTTGTCGAAAAACTTAAAAAAGGCTATTTTGTTTGTCTGGCTACTTCAACTGAAGTCCCAGAAACCCGCAAGTCAAGACAAAAGTACCGATGCTGTTCAGTAATTGAAACCAGGATTACACTTCTGTTATACGTGGTTATTCTGCCTTCCAGTCTGGCCTTCCTTGCAACATTAACGAAGCGTGCCGAAGCTCAGATCCGCCACACAGCAAACTTCTGTATACAAGACCGACTGAAGTGGTCAGAACAAGAGGAAGATATTTTTGTTGTGCTCTGAGCAGAACTTAAATTCTATAAACACGTGGGTAGGAAGTTCCGTAATGTCTGACAGAGCCTTTAGTTTACATAGGAATATGACAGAAATTAATAAATCAGAATGGAAATATTTTAAGACATCGCTTGAAATGACGCTGTTGAGTTCATAGGAGGCCTTCCATGTTTGAGCTGTCGCATTGTTTATATATGTCTAGGTCCTTCAGGCGGACGATAAATTCTGTCTTCTACGGAAGAGGAATGGCCATTACTGTGTTCACAAGAGCCACAATTGAACCGTCTTCAACCGGTTGAATCCTAAGGCAAGAACTTAGATTGAAGACGTGTAAGAACAAAGTATTGAGGAGAGTATCTGGATCTAAAAGTGAGGAAATAAATTGTTAGTTTTACTGGGTTTCTGGACTTCGTGCATCTTCTAGAATTTCGAACAGTTCTGGCCGGACAGCCTATAATGCTTTTGTTTTTCCGGTGGAGTATGAGACCTTACGACGGACTGATCACTCGACCAAAGAGTCAAACAAAGTGTCTAACATAGATCGAGTAACCTCCCATATGGGAGGAGGTCAAGGCCTATCAAAGTGCTGCAGAGCCACAGATAGATATAAAGGTGGAGTGTTGTGTGGTTATTATAGGATGGTACAGTGAACTAATTCGAGAAATGAACCTGTTTCACTCTTGCCTTCAAATGTCATTTCCCTTCGCCACACCTGGTGCCGCCTTGCTATGACGTCATAGAAATAACGAAACTTCTGGTAGCACATCCCAGTATTAAATCGTTTCTAAGTCTTGACACTTTTAAGGGACGAGATTATACGCCCAAATGTGATTATTGTGTACGTTGCGTAAAAATCCAGGTTTAAGCATTCACAATACGACATTTCTCGATATTTACAGAGACTAAAATGATGTTACGAAGTGTACAAGACACGCCTTTGTGAGTAATTGTGAAAAGTAAATAAATGTGGAAGGAATAATTTAAGTGTGCCCGGGAGCATTTTTGCACACCTCGGTAAAATGCTTGTGGGTTGCTGTCATGAGTCACAAATTTTTATTTCACGTGACCATCATAGAAATCCTTTGCTTAACTGCAGTAGAAACATTATATTGCATAGCCTATTCATCTTCTGTTGATACTTCACAGATTCACGATGGGGTGGAGTACGAACAGCTCTGAAGTTTCACGTGCATCCCAGTTACAGCGGTGCTCACTCAGTTCAAACATACAAGCATGTCCTTTTGTCTGCTAATCGTAATTCTCACCGGAAGTAGCGAATAGCAGCTGCAGCTTTGGATTTCATTTCGTACTATGTAACATTTTGAACGCTTGCCGAAAGATGGCAGAACGTACATGATGCACTTCCTACTGTCGTTTTCTCGTGGTGATTTTTTATTTTCGGTGAGATGGCAGCACATACGTGTAGGTGATTTTGGTTATACGCGGGTTTGCGTTCTGCAAATCGCCTCGTATTTCGGAAAAAAAGCGCTACCCAGTGGGCCTCCGCGGCAGCTTTTGATGTGGCCGCGGGTAGGATATTGATGTCCTAATGATACTGAAATGGAACCGCGGATAGCAAAAGCGCGTACAACGAGAGTTGCCAGTTTTCAGTTTTGAAGGAGAGGAGATATAAGATTTGAGGTTTTACAGCGGTGAGTATGAAGATTTCTGTCTTCTGGGGTGTTGCGCTGTGTAGTCTGCTCGATGTTAACCAACGTTTCTGAGGTCATGCTGCCTCCAACATCAGGGATATTTTTAGTATGACGATTTCTGTCTTCTGGGGTGTTGCGCTGTGTAGTCTGCTCGATGTTAACCAACGTTTCTGAGGTCATGCTGCCTCCAACATCAGGGATATTTTTAGTATGACGATTTCTGTCTTCTGGGGTGTTGCGCTGTGTAGTCTGCTCGATGTTAACCAACGTTTCTGAGGTCATGCTGCCTCCAACATCAGGGATATTTTTAGTATGACGATTTCTGTCTTCTGGGTTATTGCGCTGTGTAGTCTGGTCGATGTTTACCAACGTTTCTGAGGTCATCCTGCCTCCATCATCAGGGCGATGAGTATGAAGATTTCTGTCTTCTGGGTTGTTGCGCTATGTAGTCTGGTCGATGTTAACCAACGTTTCTGAGGTCATACTGCCTCCGTCATCAGGGCGATGAGTATGAAGATTTCTGTCTTCTGGGTTGTTGCGCTATGTAGTCTGGTCGATGTTAACCAACGTTTCTGAGGTCATACTGCCTCCGTCATCAGGGCGATGAGTATGAAGATTTCTGTCTTCTGGGTTGTTGCGCTATGTAGTCTGGTCGATGTTAACCAACGTTTCTGAGGTCATACTGCCTCCGTCATCAGGGCGATGAGTATGAAGATTTCTGTCTTCTGGGTTGTTGCGCTATGTAGTCTGGTCGATGTTAACCAACGTTTCTGAGGTCATACTGCCTCCGTCATCAGGGCGATGAGTATGAAGATTTCTGTCTTCTGGGTTGTTGCGCTATGTAGTCTGGTCGATGTTAACCAACGTTTCTGAGGTCATACTGCCTCCGTCATCAGGGCGATGAGTATGAAGATTTCTGTCTTCTGGGTTGTTGCGCTATGTAGTCTGGTCGATGTTAACCAACGTTTCTGAGGTCATACTGCCTCCGTCATCAGGGCGATGAGTATGAAGATTTCTGTCTTCTGGGTTGTTGCGCTATGTAGTCT